TTCATTTTTTTATTTTTCAATTCTTATTATTAGTTTTAAATCTCCATTTGATAAGCTCTACCGGTACCCCGGTATGTATTTCTATAGTATGATTACTTATTATCAAAAAACTACTGTGACTTTTATATCATTGTTATTTTTTAACATTATTCTGTTAATAAATTGATTAATATTGAAATTGTGTAATATCTCCACTGATTACCGGTTCTTCCACCATCAATATCAAGGCACCTCCTCACTGCTTCCACTATAAAATCTTTGTTGCATTTTATTCAAATTTCTACAACTTATATTGATAATTCCATTGTGTTTCTGTCAAATGTTAAATTGTTGTTGGCTGCTATTAGAAGTTGATGATTTTTTTTTAAATTTAAATGTCTATAAGCTTGATGTTAAACAAACTTCAACAAAAACATATTTTGTTTCTTTCACATTGAAAATCTGATTCCCCTTAAATTAGGAACAATTATACGGCTTTGTGATAAGTAGTACTAAAGCATTGATGTTATTATCACTTTTATTCGACTCTATTTCTACCACTCCTGTTATACTCTTACACTCTTTGGAGTCCAGAAGGTCGATTTTACCCTCTAGATCCAGTAATTTGTTACATAAAAACAAACGAATGTTGAAACAATGGCTTAGTATTTGGTTAGTATTATTTTATTCCTATAGGCCTATTTTAAGTTTTCAAGGTAAATTAATGAAATATTAAATTAACGTATAGCTTCTGTAGGCCTATATCTTTTCGTACGGTACGTGATTGATATTATTGGTCTAAAGGTGTCCAGATTATCCGATTTTGACAAAAACGTGATATGCCTAAATATGGTCATGATGACATCACATCATGACCATAAATAGGCACATCATGGCTATATATGGGCATATAACAGCTTTTTTTCAAATAAAATTTGGTAGTCTTGTCAGCAGGGATTTAGTGCATGCTTGCAGTGAAATTGCTTGACCACGGTTGCTGAGATCGAAATAAAATAAACAAAATTCAAGAATCATAAGTTTTAGTTTTTTTATTTATCTGTAGCAATTATATTCATCTGTACAAGTTGATTGAATTGAAAGTTAGCAAATTTACTATCATCAATCATATCCAAACTATTCGTTCTTTCCATTTACAATAACGAAAAGTCATTATAATATCATTAACCTAACGGTTGCCTATGTCTACACGGTCTGACTCGTGTCACATTATTTATGTAATATCTACGCAACGAACATTTAGACTTAAAATGCACAATGCACCCTTTGGATGCTCATAAAACACAATTATTGTACAATAAAATTGGAATCGAGCGAATCCTTTATAAGGTATAACACCTTAATAATTAAATAAGAACAACTCCCGCATTAAACTTTACATACGACGGCGGTATACACACCCCATCTCGACATTTTGTTTTAAGTTTAAGTATTTTAAACTACACCCATTGATATTAATTCGTTTATTCTATTATTATCATCATTACAATCACAGTATTGCACCTGTACTATCAAATTACCTCAAAATCAATTATAATTTAATTTGAATTTAACGGGAATAATATGTTGATAAAGAGAATAAAAGGCCTAGCCTATTACATCAAACGTCAAATAGTAGGCCTATGCTTGAGCGAGGCATACATACAGTGCGCACACAATAACGTTCAGTGCGAATTAGCATATCCTAGGCCTACACAGTTTAGTATACGTTGTCTTTGTTATCAAGACACTTCAGTGAAGGGGTTATTTAACATGTTTAGAAACAAGAGAGAATATTGTTACACTAATGTGTTAGACTTAAATAAAAATGTATTTAAAACAATTCTTTTTCGGAACCACTTCGATTCAAGTCGCTTAAATATGATATTTTTTCTTAAAGAAATATAACATTGGTGGGAGGTGAAATTTCAATAAAAATATAATTATGACACGAATGAATCCATTTTTTCAGTAAAACACGCCAGTCTTGTTATATTTTTACAACTTCTTTTCAAAGAGAAGCACACATACCGTATGTTTGTGTAATTACGAGAGTTGTTATGTTTTTTACTTTGTAAAAAAAAATCATTTAGTAATATAGACTATGTATAGTATTTACAGCGTCAATAGACAAATAATTAACTATAATAAATCTCTGCAAACACTATCAAGTTGTGCTTCTGAAATAGTCTTACCTGAGTTGTCCATATATGGGTGTGAAATGACATCATCTTTGCCCATATATGGACAAATCATTGCCATAAAACTTAATAGTGCGGAGAGAACCTAAAAATAAGCTTCTTTTCACACCATGCATACATCGCAATGTCCGGCAAACTTCCGCAAAGAGCAACGTGAATTAAACATGAGTCCTTTTCTTTTCGATCAAACTCGAAAAAAAAAATTCCCTTAAATAGGGAATTGTAAAATATTGTTCAGTTAGTTCGCTAGATGATGCTCAGTTATAGCTAAAATAGCTTCACAGGGTGTTCGGTCGGTACAGACAGATCGACGGACGATGTGGGTGAACTGAGTGGAGAATTGAGCGGGTGATTATGCAGAGATGCTGTACCGTCTGCTAATGAATCAGGCGAGCCCGGCGGAGACCGCGTTGACGACGCTAACCCGTGCTGTTGCAACCTAAATCGTCAAAACAAAAAAAAAAACCACAATAAATTTTCAATCCATTAAATGAAATTTCTAAATAGATTCTTTTTTAGTATTTCATATAAAAAAAATAATCATAACAATAATACAATGCAACAATTCTGCATTAAGTATATTAAAAAATATCTTGGGTATTGTTAGAAAGAATGTGATTACTTTTCTTACAATATATTTTCTACATTATAAATAGCAGGTCTGTGTGTATGAGAAAAAGGCACGATATGCCTATTGCTTGTGACACAATCTATCGAATACCATTGTACCTTATTAAGCTATTGCTAAAGGCAATACAATCAACGTCTGTAATGACTTTATACAAACAATAAAATCTACACGAAAACCCCATTAAAGCATTTAAATTGACATAACCACACAATTAAGAATACATTTCTTTGATTTCGATCAAAAATGCTAGAAACAAACAAAAACAATAATCTCTTATTAGATTTTCGATTAGGTCTAACTGCACTATCCTCGGTGGAGAATGGCGGTGGATTACATAGCCTAATGCTTTTGATTAAGAGCTACTTCGTTGTTATAGACATACACAATTCAAATATCGTCGAATTGCACAAACATTCGCACGCCGTATAATGACGACACACGCTTTATTCGCAACAGGCTTTGGATTAGTCGCGTAAATCGTGCTCCGGGCAAATGCAAACGCGCGTAATATGGTTTCTGATAGCCGCGGTAAATATAGAACAAAGCTCGAATTTCCGACGAGATATACACCCGTCCTTATTGTTCTCTCAAACTCGTTGCTTTATTAGCAAACTCAAGTTGTAGATTCTGAACCTGATACCCCATCGAATCCGTATTATACTATAGCATTTCCGTACAAAATTATTCATGAACTGCACATAGCTCTGCGAAGCATAAGAGGCAATAAAAATGAGATTGAATGCTTTATCTTCTAATATTATACTAGCATCTGATCACCAATATATTATAACAATTGTTAATTAGTATTGCTGCGATGTAATCGAATAAGATGCCATTTCTGTTAATTTTGCCCATAAAAATATGAAATATAAACAAATAAGCCTATATTATTAATATTATATATAGAAATATGTCATAGTATTATACATACATACATACACACACACACACA